AATGGTCAGCTCTTTACCCCTCCTCCTTGTTGAAATGAGCCAGTTGGATGGATGGATGGATGGATGGATGGATGGATGGATGGATGGATGGATGGATGGATGGATGGATGGATGGATGGATGGATGGATGGATGGATGGATGGAAACATGTTTTTCTAATATTTTCTTTTACAAAGCCAGCTCGATTAGTTCATATTTAGGATATATGTAATAAACCACTAGTGATAAAGGGCCCCTTCTGTTTATGCTTGATTGATTCATAGGGTATATAGGTGGTTTAAAAAACAGAAGGAACTAAAAAAAATACCTTTGATGTTTATCAAAGTAAAAAGGATAAATACCGTTATTACAGATACGATATTATCACTTATACATTTATTACTGCACCATATTTTTCTATATAGTAAGTACAGTGGTTATATTGTAGGGAACATGCAGGATCACACATTTTTAGTGACCTACTATGCATGCAACAGTCTCCCTGAGGCTTTGTTGACACTTTTTGTCTCTCCAGAGATTTAGATGGTAACCCTGCCAACCCACGTGTGTCTTAAATACCCTCACAGCTGTCATAGTAGGTGCCCATATGGCATTATTCAATCACCTTAGCACCGGATAACCATGACAATGGGAATCCCGGGGTCGCATACCGTAGTTATCGTTGTGGGACTGGCAGGACAGCAGCAGGTTATAATTAGATTTATTTTCATCAGATAAATCCCCTGGGAATGACCTTGGTATTCTTTGATGGAAAAGTCCAAGGCAGCTGTGCGTGCACCTTGTCCCGGTGTGCCCCCTTCAGCAAGAAGGAAATGGTGTGTGATGAGTGCTAACACTCGTTCAGAGATAACACTGTTGTTAACAGCTGCCAAGTGTGAGATGAGCTGAGAGGTTTGCTGTTTAAACTGCCAAACCCTTTTCTTAGCTCAAGTATAACAAACAATTGAGGCAGCCACAACCACGGCACCAATTTAAATTTTTTTTTTTTTTTTTTGCAGCCCCTTTAAGTTTACCTTCATTGGTCAACAGCAGGGCCAGCCCAAGGCAAACTAAGCAACTGCTTTGGACCCAGGGTGCCAAAAATGCAAGTACTATGTTTTTTCTTTTGGATGTTCAGTTTTGCTTTGCTCTTTGTTCTAGAGTTTTATATACATATATATATATATATATATATATATATATATATATATATATATATATATATATATATATATATATATATATATATATATATATATAGTTTATTTCTTATTTTGTTGTGTTCTTTGTTTTTTTCTTAGTTACTGTCTTAGTCTTGGTTCTGTTATGTTTTCTTTTGAGTATTTAGTTTTACTTTGCTACTTTGCTTTTACTTTGCCATGTTTTTATAGTCTTAGTGGTTTAATTCCTATTTCGTTGTGTTTTTCAGTCTTCCAGGTTTTTATTTGCTGCCCTCTTGTGTTCTCCTTTTTCCTTAGTTCCCTTTCTGTTGTGCTCTCTGCTCACCTGTTCCCAATCTGCTCATTAGCCCTCTCTTTGTTTCTGTCTTCTATAAATGCTCTCTATCTTCATTTCCTCTTTGCTGGGTCCTCGTCTAACTTCCTCCAACTCGTCTCTCTGAGCCTTCCTCCTTGTTACAGTGATTCCCCTGATGTCTCCATGGTTTTTGGTACGTTTGACTCTGTTTTCATTTTGTTGATTTTGGATTACCTGCCTCTGTTTTCAGTTCAGTTTTATTAAATCACCAAGAAATCTCACCTCTGCCTTCATGCCTCTGCTTTCTGGTCAACAAACCTAACCAAACCCTGACAGAAACACAGACAGATGATGCATGTCAAGTTGGAACTAAAGCCATTTGAAAAAGAACTAGATTTAAAAAAAGGTAAATGATACAATTGTAGCTAATTGCTGATTGCTTTATAAATCTAAAAACATATCAAGGTGTGTACATTTGCATGTGTCACACATGTTACATGTGAAGAAAAAAGTGTATTTTTGTTCAATTCTGTGAGTTGGGCTGTTTCTTTTCATGCAAGGGATTGTGGGAATCCGTATAGCTCCTAGCACCAGATACAGTAGTGTTTTGGAAGCTGCCTATGCTAGGGGAACTATCAATAGGATGCATGCAGGTTCCTTTCCTACCTCCTTCCATACTAACAGAACTTATCATAGTGCCTTCTGATTCTCTTCCACTTTGACTTAAGAGTCCTCAACAATTTGCTGTGTCTGTAGAGGCTTTGGCTAGCCTCTTGCCTAGTCACCAATGAAGACACCCCCAACCTATCTGCCCCCTGAAAAGATCAATATTAAAGGTATAGTGGAGGATGTTCTTTTTCCAGGTGGATCATCAAAATAAGTGGTCCTCCTAACTGTCAATTATTTTGGTGATATGTTTCAGTAGGGCCGTCAATCATACTCGTCTCCATTTTCACTTACCAGTGGTTAGTCTGACGTAGAGGAAAAATTGCCAATCTTCTTTTTGAAAGTAAGCTTGTAAACAGCAACTTTTAAACAGAGCGTGCACAATGAGAAATGGCTTCATGCACGCTCTTGCATGCTTTTAATAAGCGTTCTGGGTACAGGGTTGTGCATTTCCTTTTTTTTAAAGTGGAGAGGGCAGGTCTTTTGAAATATTTGCGAAAATCCTCCACTATACCTTTAAGGTATCAACAAATGGTAGCGCGATGGAGGTCTAATGTTGTTTTCCTCATAGAACAATGTTGTTGTTTTGTTTTTTTTAAATGTCAAAAACATTCTCTCCTCTTCACAATCTGGCCCCCAAAAACAAATATGAATTCTAGTTATCAATCTAAAAAAATGCATAATTTTTTGGTTATAAATGGATTAACAAGGCACCAAAAGTTTTATTTTCGATGGTCTGTTTTGTTATTCTTCTTTCCTCAGAGTTTGACCTGGATACATCTACCGTTTCCAATATTCATCAGATGATACCAGGATTGTGTTTGGAACAACTGCGACCCATCGAGTATCTACAACAAGGAATCAAAAATAACTCCCTCTGTTGTGTGTGGAAGGAAAGAGAGACTCTGTAAGGTTATAGATGGAAAATACTCCAGTGGACGATACTGTGGAAAATAACAGCCTCTATTTGTCTTTTACTTGGTGTGTGACATCAGTCTGTGTGTATGTGAGCCATGGGCGGTCCACTGAGGATGGACTACTTTAGGAGCAGAAGTTGTCTCCGGCTGAAGCTGAAAACTGGACAACAGTGAGCAGAGAGAACAACAGAGGTGCAGCAACAAGAAGGAAAAGCTTCTAGCAAGCTGAGGGCAAGGAGGAGAGTCAGCGGTCAGAGAGGACACAAAAACAAGAATATCTGAACAAGTTCTTCAAAAACACCAGGTAATATTGGCTCAGATGAATATTTCCATCCATTTTCTTAAAATGGGAGGAAGAAAATCTGTTTGGCATCTTAAGAAGCTTTAGCCTTAATTTGACCTGAATTCATCAAAGCAGCTGCAGAAAACAACTTAATGTTTTCATGCAAATAGACCTCAGAAAATAGAGTAGTTAGCAAATATTATGCCGCCAGTTATCTCTTGAAATAGTTACTTATTTCAATGTGATCTACCTGGATAAAAAAAGGATTCCCATTCATTAATGGTATACTGTATGTCAACAATACGGATTCAGACAAACTAAAAGCTAATTTCCATTTCATGCTGACAATACTGTGATGTGCTCTTTGGCATCTGCACCTTTTGTCCTTCAACAATCTTTAAATACTCTTTAGTTCTCTTTTGAACTGCAGCTCAATTGCTAAAAGGCAAACATGTTATTTTTCAACTCTAAACGTAAGACTTTGAATTTCCTATCTTCCATCACCCAGCATGTTTAAGATTTTGAGAAAGTTTGATTATAAATACCTACAACTCTTTGACTGATGATTCTCAGACTGGTCTTAATTATCTCCCATTGGGAGAAACGTTTAAAAGCTGACGTTTAGCGTATCCTTTTCCAATTCAAGTTTTTCTTTTAAAACTTAAAGATATATTTCACTTGTATGTCTTTTCACAATGAATAAAACCAACTATATGGTTGTTGGATTCTGCTGCGACCATCAAACCTACTGTCATACCCTAAGTCAAAAGAGATTGTTTTTTTGTTTTTTTTTAATCTTACATCCACTAAAAAAAGCAAGAGCTTAGTATATGTGTTCATATAACAAACACAGTAAAGTGGGAACTGGATGAAAGCATGACAGTGGAAAATGGCTGTAATGAGCTGAAGGGAGGAGTGTTCAAGAATTAAGTTATTTACGTGTGAAATCAGCTCTAAGATCAACCATTTTTAGTTTAAAAAAAATCTCACTGACTGTGTTTGTACAAATTATTTAGAAAATTTCAATATTCTATATATAATATTTCTTATCCAATATATTCTATAGAAATATAATTTGTCATGAATGTTTAGTTTTATGGCCAGACTGGTGCAGGTTTTTTTTCTTTTTTTTTTTTTTAGGATGGTCTAATTTATTCTATATTTGTAAATGTGTTTAAATCTAACTGGCTGATTCTGTTCCAGTGCTGCTTTCTTTTTTAAAAAGGGCACCTAATAGTGACGATTTTAAAACTCTATCCATGGTAAGCAAATTGTAGATATAAATAATCTCACCTCAGGATTCATTTTTCAGTATTACGTGATATTATTATGGCTCTCCTGAGAGATGCTGACGGTATAAATGTAAGCTGCTGTGCCGTCTGACCTTATTTTGACTTTTTTAAAGGCAGCAAACACAAATACACAGCTTAGTTTTTTTGTTTTTTCTCTGCACAAAGACTTTCATTTTCCAATAAAGTTTATGGCTTACAGTATCTCTGACCCTTACCAGTGAATTACCTGTGCGTATCCAACACAACCAGGCTTTGGTTGTGTTGGTTCTCATAATATTGTATAGGTCAAGAAAAGGTTTTTTACACTTTAACAAATGTTTGACCACACCCATTACATGCTATTGTGCAATTGCAGGCTCAGAACCTCTCCTCCTCTTTCTTCTAGATCTGATAATTAAAGAAGAAGATCCTCTCTGCTGACCATGGATCGCTCGGCGAAGGAGCTGTTCCTCAACTTCATGATTGTCTTAATCACTGTACTCCTGATGTGGCTACTGGTGAAAGCCTACCAGGACTGAAGCATGGAGCAGCGAGACGGCCGAGAAGCAGGAGGCAGGGAGAATAAAGGGTCTGATGGAGAGTGCAGCATTTAAAACTGTTGGTACTGGTTAGATTTTGTGTACACAGTGTTTACATTTTTTTTTTGGTTCAGTTTCTTGGTTTATAAAATAAGATTTATATCTGATTCAGATACTTCCTATATGCTGCTTATGTATACATTGTCTGAGATGCATTTAGTTTCTAATATAAATAAGACCGGAATTCTTTGAGACATGAAATTTGAATGAAATTAAAAACAGCATGCAAGCTCTACTGTACATGTCAGAGATGTTGTCATATTAATTCAGACTCAGTAAACTATTGTTGTCGCCTCGTCTGTTCTGTTCGCTCTTAGACCTTTTGGTTTTAGTTTCATTACACTAGCTAGTTAGATGTTAAGTAAATGTGTTTTTCTGCTTTCAGGAACTGGAAATAATTATAAAAAGAAAAAAAAATGCATTTTTTAACAAGCATAAATAATGCTGTTTGATTTTATTTACCAAAAGAAATAAAACAGGACGTCCATAATCAAATGGCAGGGTGGTCAAATAAAACTATCTTGTTTGACATGACGTTTTTTTCCATCAAACATTTTCAACAAACTGTTTAACAGCAGCTCTTTAACAGCACAGAAAATGTTTAATAGTAAAGATTATAAGCAGGAAATCTCCCTGAAGAGGACGCAACACAGAAATATGTATATTTTTAGTTATTGCTACATCATTGAAGCAGTGTTTATATGATATACTGGCGTTTATCTTATGTTTATGCTTCTGGCCCATGTTTTGCTACAATGTAAATTCTACCCTTATACAAAATAAATGATTCCTCTTTAGAAAAGCTGGCACAGTATATTATGCGTTGTCCACCTGCTTTCTTCTCCACGAAAAATAATCTACTACTAAAATAAAACTTTTAAAATACCTTAACATGGTTTCTCCATGGGAGAATAAACATTAGGTGTTTCAGAAATACAGCTCTTATGATTGTGTTCACGTGAGAAACAAAAATAGCTGTGATCTTTGAGAAAAACGCTGATTGTTATTCTTATTTGAGACGTCAGCCATCCACATGGTGCAAACATTTAAAGCTTAACACAGACATGCAGGTTTATGGATGGAGGGAGTGTTGATTGTAGGCGATCATTCTGCCCATGGGTCCCTGTATCTGTTGAAACTGATGATCTGACAGTGGAACTCTGTGAGTCCTCTGGGCATGGGTGTCACTTCCTCCCATTGACTCCTCCCACTGTAGTAAACCTGCCCCAAAACAGGCAAAGAGAAAAGAAAGTTCTTCTTTTAGCAGCGATCTGCAAGTAGTTTTTTGACAAATCTTAGGGAAAAAAAATAGAAAATTCTCATTCATCTAAATTTATTTCATCATCAAGGGTTTAAGGGTTAAAGTTTACCTGAACCTCGTCTGTGATCTCATCAGGTGAGTAGTCTCCACCCAGTATGTAGATTCTGTCCCTCATCCCAACGGCTCCTGCGTTAAAACCTGCACATTCAAAGGAGCCCTCACCCTTCCACACACAGGTTTCTGGGCAGAAACTGTAAACCTGAGATAAAAAAAAAGAGGATTTGAAAGCTTATCTGAAGAATGCATACAAAAAATGTGATCAAATTGATGCAATTATACAACACAGGTCACCTTGTAGGTTGATAAATCGCAGAGGTGAAGCATGTTGTTTATTGACACTGCCTTAACCAGTGTGGCATGGAAGAACTGCCCAAACTCCGCCACCAGGCGGCTCCACTGGTCCTGCTCGGCGTCGTAGCGGAAGAAGCAATCGAGTGAAGGATTAAAGGAGTCTGTGATCTCCACCTCAGACCCAAGAGTGTAAATCACGCTACCACAAGCACTGGCCTCTGGGTAGAAGATGGCACCTGGTAGCTGGCTGACAGAACACCAGCTCTGAGTCAGAGGATTATAATAGTCCACCTTTAAAGACAGATGGGACATGTTAAGAGACTGCTCCCCTTCCGAAAACTAAACAGATAACAATGAATGCTGATGATAATTGTGGAAACTCTGTTATACATCCAGCAAACTTGGGGCCTCCCCTCTGGTTCCCTTGGTTCGTCCCCCAATCACATACACACGGTCCAGGCAGGTCACAGCTGTGTGCATGGTTCTGGGCTTCAGCATGGCTGGTGCAGGTGTACAGGTCAAGGTCACAGGGCAAAAACACCAAACCTCATCAGTGGCATTGTGGTAGGATTCAGCCACATGGAGGCGAATTGCCCGGCAGCAGTTCCCCCGGCAACCACCTGTGATAAACATCTTAGAGACAGTAGATAGAAGAAAAGTTGCTAAAAAAATATATAATATATAAAAAACATGAATATGAATATTTGAAAGAAAATCAGCAATATCCAGGAATATATTAAATCTAATCTTAAATCTCTAGTATTTTTTAACATCACCAGTCAAAAATAAGCTGGACTCCAAAGCCTACCTTCTCTGCATAGCTGTTGAGGTAAGACCCGGGTGGGTCTGGCATGGGAGCCTCCCCAAACTCTGTTTGCAGCTCCTTCCACTGATCTGTTTCCAAACAGTAGCAGAAGGTATGGCGGTTCTCCCCGTTCTCCTCCGTCTTGTGAATGTAGATGTAGCTCTTTGTGGTTGCGGGCCTGGCATCAGTCAGTAGGCCATCGTACAGAGTCTGTCTGCTCTGGGCCTCTGATAGGAGTGTAAGACAGGAGTCGTCACTGCCGAGGAGGGGATCTGAATCATGCAAATTCTGTAAAGCCAACACAGACAGCATGAAACTATGATTAAATCAAAACTGAGCAAATTGAACTAAAAGCATGGTTTGTTTAATGATCTAAACCAGGGGTCTTCAACGTTTTCCAGGCCAAGGACCCCCAAACTGATGACAAGATGGAGCGGGGACCCCCTAATTATATTTATTGTATGAAATTGTGTTATATCAACCTGGTCCTATAGTCACTCTATTAAAGATGGAGTAATGTAAGGAAAGTAATTTCTCCCTGGGATTATTAAAGTATTTCTGATTCTGATTCCTGGTTGATGGGACAGGTGTTGTGAATGAAACGGTGTCCAGCTTGAAAGAGCTCCTGTGTGTCTCTGAATGTCTGCATTGATGACTGAAAGACATCTTCTGCCTCCATTTATCTGTTTACTACAGTGTGTTGAATTCATGTTAATGTGGATTTAAAGACATTTCAATTCAGGAGGGAATATTAAAAAAAAAAATGAATCAACCAAAAGTTTCACGACCCCCATGCAGTGCCTCCGCGGACCCCCTAGGGGTCACGGACCCCCTGTTGAAGACCTCTGATCTAAACTGATAATGGAAATAAGGTTAAATTATTATTATTTTTTTTTTATCTCATTTAAACTCTTTCCTATCCTTAGGCACAGGATTGTATGAATACATATCCTAAACTGAAAACATCATAGCCTAACTCATTACGATTTTTAGGAAGCTGTGAACATGACCTTTTGTGGTTAAATATTTTATTATTTTCCTCAAACATTTAAAATATTCCAATCCTTAGATTACATTAAACATTTTACAAATACAAAAACAGAATCAGTTACACAAATTAATGTAAATAATTTTTTTTTTATGCAGTTATAACCATACATACAGTTTTAGACCCACACTAATTAGGGGGTTAAAAGTCTTTTAAAGAGCTACACCTCTACCTCACACTTTTTGTTGCCATCATTGAGCTGCTGGTATCTGACTACTCATCTTGGCAGAAAAAAGTAGATTTAAACTGGTTCTTGTCCATGAATCCTTATGGCTTTGAAGAAAAGGCCAGAAATAGTCAGGACTGGAAACACTAGAAGGGTCCATATTGGAATCCTGATTCTCAACTATGTCCAAGTTTCAACCATCCATTCGTCCATTTGTGGTGAAGCTGAAGAATCAGTCATTTTACTCATTACAAAACAGCCATGCAGCATGATACTGCCAATGCTGTATTTTAAAGCTTCAGAATTATTCTTAAGTTTGAAAGACTCAGCTGACTGCAGTGGGGGGTAGTGGGCCGGTGTGGATGGAAAAATGCCAGGGCCGAAAATCGTTCCCAGTCCAACCCTCCTTGCTCTGAATCCTGAGCACATCCTAGACACCAGTTTTGGCCTCTGGATTATCCTGCCTTCCTTTGTCTGCTAGGTCCTGATCTGAGCTCCCTGTTTTCTATCCTCCGGGACTTCAACGTCTGGGACTCTCTGGGCGGCGCCCGCCACGTCTTGTTGGCAGCCGACCGGCTGGAGCCAGTCTCTTCCTCTGGGCATGGACTAAACTATTAGACCAGGTAAATGACTCACATGTTCATAATCATCCACCTCAGGACAGAGGTGGACACTACCTGTGTTCTCCCCCTGCAGAGGTTCCTGCCTTGGATACCGATGCTGTTCACTGCAGTTCCGTCATGAATTAATATTTTGTTAAACCTAACTGTCTTTCTGCCTCGTATACTGGGTCTTTTTGTTCTGAGCTTGACATTAATGGGTCCTTTTATTTGGTTTTCTGGATGACACCACCGAAAATGCATCAATATATTTTTTATAAAACCCTTTACTAACTTAAAGCCTTACGTTATTTTCAAAATATCCATAAATTCCCTGACCCAATAAAGTGTAAAACATTGGCATAAACACTAATCCTTGTTGATTTAGCTTTTTTCTACTCTTTTTTTATTATTATTATTTTGAAGAATACGGTAGCTTTACAAAACAAAATGATAAACTTTTGGAACAACAACACAATAATTATAAATAAATAATTCTGAAGAAAATTTAACAGAAAAAAATGACTAAAACAACAAATACAAATACAATTACAATGCTAGTGTATTCGAAAAATTAGAGTCAGTTTTAAAGCAAATGCAGAAGAGACTTAAATCATAAAAAAACTTTAAGAGAAAACATAATAAAAGTTTGATTTTATTAGTTTAATTTAATTCATGACGTATTAAACAACTGGGGTTAATTTTATTTTATTTGCATCATCACAGCTTAGCTTTGTGAATATAAACAAAAAAGCAACAACAACAAAACCTCTAAAAATCTCCAAGACAGGAGGATGTTTATTATGCAGTGGCTGCTTTCTAACTACACTGATGTCAGTGTGACAGAGACCCTGGTGTTCCAACATTTTCCAGTTCATTGCAGGCATTATGTTTTTTTTGTGAGTGTTTTTTGTTTTTGTTTGTTTGTTGTTTTCTTTTTTACAAATCCTCAACCAATTACCTTTCAAATATACTCAAATCAGACAATAACACCAAATTTATAAGGAAACTGGCTTCAGAATTAAAAGGTCAGGATCCTACGATCACCTAGACTTCCACGTGATAGAAAATACTTTGACTATGGCAGGAATTTGGGTTTTCAACAGGAATTAAATAAATGTACATTAACTCAGCCATTTCTTCTAAAAAAAATTATAATATCCAGTGAGGAAGATTTATGACGGCTACAAAGTGAGTTATGAGATGCAATTCCCCTGAGAACAGTTAAACTAACTAGAAAATTTCTAAAGAAATTTTGAGGGGGGCCACCTACTGCCCGTCTGGGTAACTGGGCCAATACGGCCCTGGCAAGTGACATTGGGGCTCCCCAGACCAACTGCTTACGCCTTTGAGGGCTGCTGAGGGAAGGAAAGAGGGCTAGGTCATGGGCAAAGAGAGCTGTGTGCCACTTGTGCTGAAATCTGGGAAATAGACGTGCACAGCGTATGATGCACAAGGGTAATATGGTTTGTCCATATTGAACCGCAGTGGGTAAAGCGCAGTTGGCGGGCTCTGCCCGCCTGCTAGGAGCCCTTGCAGCGATGAAAAAAATCACCAATGCTGCTAAGAGCCATTGCAGTGATG